AGACGCCTTACGTTGGAATGATATGAATTTCTCATCGTAGTACCTCGCATTAGAGATCGTTCCATCATCATCATCACGTGTTGAGACTCCGATAGTACATGGAATTAGGATATCGATTAAACTTACTTCATATGTATTAATATCGATGCTCATTTCAGCCTCCTGTGGTGACTTTGTGATCTCTGGAGGGGCCAGAAGTCAATGGTTACTTTATAGAGTTGTGACCAGTAGCAGGGACGGCAAGCTGTCGTTGTGGGTAGAAGATGGTGGTGAGATGTTCTCAGAGTGTGGTATGGATAATGTACGACTCATGGCGGTTGCTATAGGATCTCATTCGCCCGATGTAAAAAGTGGTGATTTTCACACTCCTTGCATGTTATTATTATCAGAACGTTTTCGCCCTATTTGGTGACAGCTCTGGATCCGTTTGGAAGGCTCAAGGTCATCCTGGAAAACTACACTTCCGCTCTACGTAATAGCGGCGACCAGTGTGGTAGAAATTGCACATGGTCAAGTACATGTGTTGGTGACGATATGAAAACTCTGAAGAAATCTTCGGCAATTGTCATTGGTTTCTGTGGATTTCCAACCCAACTCGCTCGTAGACTCCTATGATCAGTGAGGAAACTCCTAAGCTCAGCTGAGGAATATATATTGCAACAACCTCCATGGAGTATTCCAATGAAGGTACACTCGCCACAGTGCATGCCTGGCGGTGATAGCCCCCGATGCACACCAGGTGTCACCACCTATTGCTGGCTATGCTGATGGTCACATCGTTCGGCTCAACGACAAGCACTGTCTGTCTGTTCATACTGCAGGGGTCAATGCATTAGCATGGATAGATAGCGGTGGTATCAGCTTTGGTTTAAATGTCTATCATCACGTTGTTGTTGTTGTCCCCTCAGGAAAGCTCGCGAGTAGTGGCGATGACCAGGACGTAGTTATCACTGACGTCCAACGTATGATAATATTGAAACGTATAAGCCTGGCACATCTTGCTGGAATCCACGCCATGGCAACAGCTCCGTCGACTAAGGTGAAACACCGCACTGTCGTTGTTGTTGGTGTTGAACTGAGCATTTGCTCGTTTTCAGACTATTTACTCGGTGGGATGGGACCGTAGAGTTAAAGCATGGAGCGTTGATGACGAAGAATTATCGTTAAGTGGCTGTACTCGTTGTATAGCAACCGAGCCGAATGCTGTTGCTGTCCTCCATCATGGGCACTTTATAGTGGCCGCTGGACGTGGTTGGCAAGTACTTTCTACATCCTAAGTTGTGCTGTAATTCAGTGTTGTGTTGATCTGCATCGCATAGTAACATGTAGGACGAGCGAAAAAGAACGAGATACAATAAATAGGAGATGAATAGAATACTTCACCCGTGTATTATCATATTAACTCACCATAAGCATTGGATATTGGTATTCGAGCGTATTGATGGATTACTACTACTGTAGTGAGAGCAACAGAAGGTCTTATCATTCGCTGAGTTGTTGGTGCTGTTGTGGTGTACGTCATCACATGTGCATTGGATGTTGGTCGAATACGTGAAGCACGACCATAGTATGTAGCACTACTCATCATAAATGCTATGCTTGATCGGAGCACAAACGTTCGTGGTATATTAATGACCAAACGATTTATGACTGCGTTTCGTGTCGATTAGCAATGAGATAGTTAGTCCGGACTGCCTCCGTGACGTGTGGAGCTGCGATGAGCAACAGTTAGTCGTATTAACGTGATAGGAAAGTAAACTGTCGATAGCTAATAAGAACTTCAGGGAATCTATGTAAATACTGAAGTATATATGTATGGTTCCTCCTCGACTGTAATTATCGTGTGTTTCTTTTGATACCGAGTAAGGCAAGCAGGATAAGTTGGATGGTTCAAGTCTGTCTCAACCGTGGTAGTTATCTCTATGAAGTAAGCAATCGATTGTATTATCTTCATAGTCTCACACTTCTCACCATCATTCGTAAGAACTTCGTCTCTCGGCGACCAAATTACTCAGTCTTTAAGAAAGACCACATGGGAACTAGTTAGAGTGAGGATGTCCTTCCTATTGTGTGTGCTTGGATTGGCAACTTCTAGTGTGTATGTAGAAATCAGAATGGTTGTGTTGCTTATCGTTAACTTTATTAAGCTGCATAGTACGGTAACTCCAACGACTCAATACGGAACCTTAACGTAGCAACTCTATCACTACAACAGGGCCATGGAGTCTCCTCTTACGCAAAGCCATATGTTCACGCAAGGGTGGTACGAATATACAAGCGAACGCCTATCGCGTAACCCTACGAGTAGTCCCAACACAGACACAACCAACGGTGACCACCACAAAAGATACAACAAATTTGGAGCCGCATCCACACTACTGAATAACACGGACACAATACTTGGCAGAAACCCTATAGAAAGGAATGCTAATGAACAGTGTCTTTCGAAATCGTGTCTGGCGACAGTAAACAAAACTGCACAACATGTCGCGCTTCGCTCCGCCTATTTACTCAGCCTGCTTGTCGAAATATGACTTAGCGTTAGCAAGATCACATACGGGTATATCTATTTGTACGCGGGCCTCCGAGTCACCTGAGGCGTAGTATATGGATGATGAGGGGACGACCCTACTCCTTCCTTACCTGTACGGAGATCCTTAATACGGACCTTACCCGACTCCCATTCACTTGGTGCCACGAATGCTATCTTATCAGCACCAACACGATCCGCATACCTTGAGAAAACACCGGAGTCCCACCAGTTTTACGTGAAGTCGCGTAATACTCCATGTGAAAAACGCGGCATCATCACACTGGACGTTCCTCCTTACCTGAACTGCTTGTCAACACGTTTACCCGCCTCAAGCATAACATCAACAGTGGCACCACCCGACCTGAGAAAAACGAACAAAACTTATCAAGGTGAAGAAATATATTTCTGATAATACTCGAAATATATGTACCCGCGATATGAAAAACACATTTCACAAACCACTGCATATCACCGCGAATATTGAGGTTTTCACAGAGGATTACGCCACTTCACGTAAAACCGATGAAACTCCAATACACACTCAATTTCTGTGTAATAATACTTACTCCACTACATGATGACAACGTCTACAGTGTACGAAAACCAACGATAACATTTGCAATTTCCATGTTGTCACCAACACACGTAGTTGCCACGCTGCACTTTACCTCAGACCGGCGGCCACCTCTAACGCCTGTCCATACATCCCCTTATAAGCAGCTACGACGAAATCAACCCGGTGTGGTATCTCAGGGAGTAGGCCACGCTCTAAAATATCAATAATACCGCGCGCCACGAAATTCAAACACCTACCCAATAGAAGTTCGTAGATAACACAGTCGCCGAAACCGAAACCAACACATGGTATCTCCGAGGGCGCGCCATACAGCGATAAAAGCCTACAAGAAAAATAAGCTCACCACATGAGGGGGAGGAGCAGTGTGGGAAAATATGAACACATGGTCAACTACATGTGTTATTGATATTTGAGGAAATTCTTATTGGTTTCTGTACAGTTGTACCCGAGTTTGTACGTAAACTTCTAAACTCAGGTGAGGAAGTAGCCGAACATATACTCCAACACTGGGGAGGAGGGACCCTACCTGTCGTAGCGTCCACCACCTGCTATGGCCCGTAGTTCTCCTCTACGATCAAATGCCTCCCACACAATGCCTAATACAACACAGTTTTAAAACATACGAAACAAAAATTGCTTCGCTCCGCTCACCTGTATAATAGGCCAGACCGCGAACCACCGATGCATCAAAGACGAGCCAATCGGCTATGCCGTAGTTCTCAGCGAATTGGAAGAGCCTCTCGACATCATCAACATCTGAGATCCCGTGTACAGTGCAAGCCAATTTGTTATGTAAATGTGAAAAATGAGCGTTTTTCCCCACTTAATCGTAATCGTTCTCGTACGTCGCGAAAAACATATTTCACGACTACTGTATGGCGCGAATATCGCCTAGTTTTTCATCGAGTTTTACACACGGATGAGATTCCAATGTAAACATATGTATGATACAAATAAGGTCCTCAACATGGCCGTTCTCCCAGAGCTGTGAATTTAGTGTTGGAAGAGGAATATCTGTTCGCTTCACTTCATAGGAGTTCGGGTAGTACACAAACCAACAACAATTTTCCAAAATTTTCATATTATCACCAACATTGCCACAGTTGTGCGCGTTGAAAATCGCCCTTGGCGAAATATCTACGAGACGAATATCATCCATTTCTCTTAATATAGTATCTACTCCGTCACTCGCTAGTCCTTGCTTTGATTTCCGAGGGAAACTATCGTCGTTGTAAGAAAATTCGAAATTCCTTGATAAAATAACGTTGCTGAATTTCCCTCCCCACACCTTCAGCACAGCTTTCCCCAGCAATCGCTTTGAACTCCTCAATAGATCCAGCAGCAGTAGCATCAACAACACGCTCTGATCAAAATCACTACACCAGTGTAGAAAAAATATATGTTTGCTTTCGTAAGTGTTTTCATTACGTTATGAAAATCCACACATAATTTTGGGTAGAAGTGTACAAAAACTTATGTAATCTAATACACTAGTTATATGTGATTAATATTAACTTATAAATTCAATAAATGAAAGGGGTTATTATATCTTAAGTTATATCAGTTAATAATACTATTCCACATTTTTACAAACACATGTAGTTGACCATGTGCATATATTCCCACCACACTGGGAGTTTCACTCGTTTCACGTGAAGTTACGAACAATCCCACATTCGCGGTGATATGCAGTAGTAATGGAGAATGTTTTCACTAGTGTTTTTCATATCACTAGGGTGGCCGTGAAACTCCACTGAATCACACGCAACAATGTAATCAAATTCTTCCTCTCACCAGCAACAGCAACGTCAAGTTTTATATCCTCAACCATCTGCCTGATGACCTACGATCAGATACTTTCATCACTTCACAATAACATCAAAGTGTTTACCTCTTCTCGACCAACTTTATCAATTTTGTCAACAACAACACAGACCTTCGCGAATTCATCAGCGCCAACACCGGAGGCTTTCAAAACCGACTGTAAAATCGCTCGGGAGTTTACCCTAAAAATCAAAATGTAGTTTTCTATTACATATCAATAATACCCGTAAATGAAATCTATATATTTTATTCTGATAAAGTTTCACCCAAGTGATATGAAAAACACTAGTGAAAAACATATTTCACGACTAGTGCATATCACCGCGAATATCGCCTAGTTTTTCACCGACGTTTACACCACTTCACGTAAAACGGACGAGACTCCAATAATCATAATATAATAGCTTGTAATAATAAACTTGAGAACTAGTAAGGATCAGTGGTACAGATCGGTGTGGCGGAGGAAAATATGCACATGCTCAACTACATGTGTGATCGAAAATACGAAAATTTCAAGGAAATTTTGGGAAATCCTTCTTGGTTGCCTATAATCAGCTTTGGAAACTCCTGAGCTCAGCTGCTGAGGAAAGCGAACATATATCCTTTGCTCACCCTCAGTGTGAGCGGAAAATATGCGCACGGTCAACTACATGTGTAGGTGACATCTGTGCAAATTCTGAGGAAAACTGAGGAAATTCTCTACACTTCTACCCGAATTTGTGTGTAAACTTCAATAACTAGTTTTGGAAACTCCTGAGCCTAGCTGAGGAAAGCGAACATATATTCCAACACTGCTCACTCTCGTACGAGTAACCCACTTGATTCCAACATCAGCACTAGTGAGGCCGACCCTCTTGAAAAATCCCACCATCGTGGCCAAGAGCTCCAACTCAGCGGTGATATCAGCAACACCTGCGAGTAGAAATGCGAGGATGAAAAAGGAAAAGTGAAGAAAGTTACCAACGATATCACAGTTCCATTGATAATGTTCACGCTTACGACCGCGCTGTGTCGTTTCGAATCTCCAACATTGCGGTATAGAAAACCACTTTAGCGGAAGAACCTGCAATAAGGAAATATGCACGGGGTCAAATACGCGTGTTGGTGAAAATTTTGGTAAGAAATTCCGCTTTTTTCCTGGGCACATCTACTGCAAACGCCTATAATCAGTGAGGAAACTCCCAAGCTCAGCCGATGCGTGCAAACATATACTCCCAGTTTAGGGAAATATGTTTGTTTTCCTCAGCGGATCTCAGGAGTTTTCATGAGAACTAGTGTAGAAATACCAAAATTTCCCGAAATTTCCTCAGAATGATTCTCAGTGTGGTAAAAATTGCACATGGTCAACTACATGTGTTGGTGATAATAAGAAAATTATGAGGAACTTTTTAGGAATTTTTATTGGTTTCTGTGGACTTCCAAACCAACTCCTCCATGAACTCATAAGCTCAGCTGAGGAAAGCGAACATATATTCCTACTCCAACACTGGAGTTTTCACCCTAGTGATATGAAAAACACTAGTAAAAAACACATTTCACGGTTACTGCATAGCGCGAATATCGCGTTTTTCACCGAGTTTTACGCGTGAAACGGGTCGTGAAACTCCACTGATCATTCCACTATCACCAACACATGTAGTTGACCATGTGATCATATTTTCTTCCAAACTGTATATTCCTCTCACCTCAGCCATTTGTGCAGCCGCATTGTGGCTACTACCACCCTCCGCGCTCATCCTAACCCTCGATAATACCATCCTCGCCAGTGTTGGTGTCATCTCTGGTCGTAGGGTAACTCTATGATCCTCCTTATCAACGAAGTTGTACCTCGATCACCAAGGCCTGTCACCGTGGCGTGCTCAGTGTGGGAGAATATACACATGGATGTGTTGGTGACACTATGGAAATTCTGGGAGAGAATCTATGTTTCCGCGCGAATAAGGATGTAAACTCCTGAGCTCAGCTGAGAGACGCGAACATATATTCCAATTCTGATTCTGCACCTCTCCCCTGGTGATTACATTTGCTCGACAATTTCCTCGCCAGCTTTTCTCTTATACAAATCCTCATTTTCCAACACGGGTGCATCGTACTCTGAAAAGCCATACTGCGTCGAGACGGAACGCCACTGGGCGAAGAGCCAATTCTGAAGGGATAGCAGTGTGGAGGAGAAGTATGCACAACATGGTCAACTACATGTGTTGGTGACAATATTAAAATTACGCGGAAATTTCGGGTTTTTTTTTTGAATTCTCGAGTTGATGAACATTTATCTACGAATCACATCAGAAGTTTTGAAAATCTGAATATATAAACTCCTGTAATTAGTAAGGGAACTTCCTTAGCTCAGCTGAGAGGAGCGAGCATATATTCCGACACCAAAAAACCGCTTACTCGCACACGCATATCTTCCGGGAAGAAGTCCCGAGTTCCACTAGGAGGGTCGAAAGAAATAACTAAATCACAAAAAAATATTTTCGGAGTCGCTTCTGAGTGAATTTACCATTATCGAATTCTTGTTTATTGTTGTTGTTGCCGCCCTTCTTAGCGGCCTTCTTGGCCAACTTCTTAGCTTGCTTCTTGGACATACCCTCCGGGACGATAAGCTTCTCATTCACGCTAGAGAGATCAACTTCAGGAGCTGATGACATATCGGCAGTTTCAAAGGAACCAAACTACACAAATTGGATCAACGAGGTGACTTGTATCATGCAGGCTCCTCCTCAACCTTGCAACACGTACAGTTTATGATAACGTCTTTTCACAGAATTAACATCTACCTCTCCGGGTTAGAAATTGGCATTCCGACAAGTTCATGCAGGGGCATGACCCCATTAAAGGTACCAGATGACAAATCGATTCACTGGGCGCGCGCGACGCTGGTGGGACAGTCGGTAACACAACGAAAGCGTCCCGCTTTTGATTTTTCGGAACACGAAAATTAGCAAAGTATCGAGAAATTACAAAAGCTTTCGGTGGGAATCGAACCCGGGTCCATCCCTATGTGAGCCCACACACCTCCCCACGCGGTCGACACAACCCTCCTAATAAAACACCTCGAGTGAGGTCTTCCAGCTATAAAGGGCATACCTCATATATTAAAACTGCAATGTCATCACGCGTCTTCCAATTCAAAAGTCGTCTACACCTACCCTAGATGACCTACTAATGCGATCTTAGGCCTCTCACAATGAGATCCACTGCTCGGCCCTTCTTCCTTACCTGTACGGAGATCCTTAATACGGACCTTATCCGACTCCCATTCACTTGGTGCTACGAATGCTATCTTATCAGCACCAACACGATCCGCATATCCGAACAACAATTCACTGTCTTCCTCCTCCTACGACTAGACAGGAAGAGCCTGGTCCATCCGTCCTACCCAAATTGTCCACACGCTAACCCGCCTTGGGCATCAGATCGAATGTGGCTTCGCTCGACCTGAAATACCCCAACATATGGTCACCGACAGACAGCGATCCGCTCTACAACTGTGAATTTCACAACTCGCACACAGTCCACGATAAAGATATCATGAATCATATTATCATAAATCGGGAATTGGAATTAGCGCGGCTCGAGCCCCGTTGGCGAAAGAATGGGAATTTCTGAGGGCATTCCCCAACTTTTGGTGGGAAATGAGGGAGCCGCGTAGCAGATCCTTTGATGTTTATCAGAACTCGACAATGAAGCGACAAGAGTGTCCCTCGAGCAGCAAATACGATGATAAGCCCATACGTCTTATAAAATTGCTATTGGTAACATGAAAATCGATCGCACACCAGCGCCACTGGTCCTGCGGAAGGCTGTCCTCACCGAACTGGTTCGAACTTGCAAGCTCTAATAATCCTCCTGTAACTCCTGATAATCCAACCAGCTCTGCTCGCGGGAAATACGAGCATCAGAGGCAGAGTGAACTCCGACACGACAATACAATTGGCAGTCGGACGCATACCTGTGACACCGGCCTTCCATATAGTTGCATGAATGGCGCTGCAATTGTCAGAAGCTGTCGCACAAGTTTTCCATTCGTCTTCGGATGTTACAAAGTTGATCTCGGAAATAGCAAGAGACCAGCTGCTACAGTTCGGACGACTCAGGATTCCAACATCTGACGATTGATCATTGTGGACTTAAATACCCATCTCGGATGGGCCATCTGACGGGGTGGCAGGAGTGCGGCATCGCCAATGCTCCTGCTGCATCACTCGGTCATGCTATAACTGAATCATGATGATTCGAGCATATTAGACTGATGTCATCAGTCGAGAATACGAATCAGTTCTAATTTACCTTCATGGCAGATATAATGACGACAACACTGTTGTCACAATGGTGCAATGAGCATGATCTAACATCCTGAAAAGATCCGCTCAATCTCATCGAGGTAACTCAGGCAAGTTTATATTATCGGGAGAAGGCACGAATGAAAGACAAGCAAGAACGAATCGGGGGAGCAGCATCAAAGTTTGTAGCTTCTATTGTACGAATACGACAGGTGTTCGCCAAACAGACATGCTAAATGACGAGAATGGGGAATTCTCATCACTCGTGGGATATCAACCCTTAACCGTTTTCCGACGCGAGTGTCGTCTGGAGAGACGTCTCGCGTACCACTAGAGGGGTCGAAGGAGAATGCTCGTCACACGCCAAGTGAGGGAAATGTAGATGATGCCAGCAGAGCGAATTGAACCCGGATCCTCCGCTGACTCGACCACCTATATCTTGTTACAAATTCACAGGATGTCAAATATACTAAATTGAACTGCCCGAAAACACTAACCGTCAATGACAAAGCCCGCCGAAAACGATTACAACGATTCTCACCATAATACTCTAAAGTTTAGAGTCTAAACTACTGAGTAATGCCTAGCAAATACAATCAGTTCCTCCCGTTCCTCTCCAACAGTAGCAGTAGCAGTAGTAGTAGTTCTACTACTACTACTACTACTACTACTAGGAGAACATAACTGTGCTCACGATCTACGACCCGTGATCTTCAAGAACTCCGCCAGAAGGAAAATGCACCGGAGATATTGTAAGATTGCGCAAGATTGCAAGATTTGCTGATCGTGCTGCATGATATTTTTCGCTGTGCGTCTACGATTCGTATCTTCTCGTTCACTATGAATATCGTCGGTAGCGATAGAGAGTTTCGTATCAGGCCTGTTGATGCTGTGAATAAGAAACTTAATATTTCACCCTGCGTCCTTGGACCCGATCTAAAGTGTTTATGAACCATGTTGAGAGGGGTTACGGACGCATATGATTTGGAAAGTTGTTATTACGAATACAGGCATAGTCGGTCAAGGGAGTTATCATATGAGTTTTGGGTCATTACCGCGCAATACAGGTGGCAATCGATCAGAAACGAAGTGGACATCAACAACAACATCGATAACCTACAATAGGAGGACTGTAGAGGTACAACTGAGATATCTTACATTCCTCACCAGGCTGGGCCACCTCTGCCGTATGAGCAGATGCATTACTAGCAACAACAGCGGCAGGAGCAGGAGCAAAGTCTACAGTCGTTGTACCGTAAATGCTCCATACTTGCAACCTTCATTCTGGGAGGATCAATGCGGTTCGTTAGGCTCCTCGGAATGTATTTCACGTAGCGTCGAAATAGTTCTAGAAAGGTAGTTCACGAGGTACCGATCCGTCAGAATATCCTGTCTAGCGCGGCTGATAATTCCGTGGGCTACAGTATAACCGAGGTAAAGATTGGAGATTTCGTACACAACTATGATGAACCCCCGTTGGTCTGGCCGAGAGCCAGTTCGATATGTGTTGGCAGGCGAATACAGCGTGGATGAATCTTGCTGACTTTGGTGTGTCAACTTGACACTGTCCAGACCACAAGTCGCCAACTGGCCTTGTATAACACCAGTCATATCCTACTATCTACTATGATAAAGAGTCTTATATCAGAGCTCCGGGATTGATACTCCCGTGGATGGTTGCGGTGAGTGAGGAGACCCATAGGTGGTGGTTGTCTCCCGAAGCGCCGTGGGTCCGTATGGGGTGTGTACCAACGGCATTGGGATGAATAGTTTAGAATTCTAAGGCCAAGTCTTTTGAGGATTGCACGCATTTCAAGTGTTTACCATCGCCGAGATAGAGATCTTACCAAGTCGGTTAGTAGTTATGGACTTGATGTGGGACTATAGTAGCATTAGAAAGTATGCTAGAGTATCTTGCCCGTCTAGCTCAGTCGGTAGAGCGCAAGGCTCTTAACCTTGTGGTCGTGGGTTCGAGCCCCACGGTGGGTGTTTTATTGGTTTCATGTCGTTTGCTGCACTCCCACCTGCGTATGGTTCCCTACGAAACTTGCGTGGTTACCGGGCCGCTAGTGTGAGCCTGAAAGATCAGACACTGATCATCAAATGCTCGACGAGGCATCATCTTGTGGTTCGCATTCCATCAGGTCCCCGTAGCCAGTATTCCTAAGCTCCTATGATTTTACCAACGTCGCGCTCCCTCATTTTTCTCGTTATAACATCTTCAACGACTGCATACTATCGCGAAGATGACTTGAAAACCTCGAGTGATCCCGGGCAGCTCTCGAAGTTGGTGAAACGCGAAATCAGCGCCCCACATAATAGCGCCGTAGCTCCGAGTGAGTCTCCTCGATAGTCGTTGACGTACGTACCACAATATGGTAGGTCCGGTTGAGTCGGATGGCCTCGGCCCTTTAACGGTGGGCATGGCGCCCAACCTGGCTCGTGAATATCCGGAAGGAACTTTCAAAAACCAAGGGGAGTCGCCAAAGTTCACCGTTAGTGACATGCTCGGTAAGTAGCACAGGACTAGACGCTCGCGATCGTCGTCTTCTAGGTATTACTCTTCCATACAGTTCAAGCCGTATAATGGCGACCCAGTTGGGTGCTGCTCCTGCAAGTCAATATGGTATGACACTAGAACAATGTGCTCGGAAAGTTGAACGAACTGTTGGCGAGTAAGGGCGCGGGTTCGATTCTCGGCAGGTACATTTTGCCCTACCATTGCAGGTTCGATTCGTTTAAGGAAGGTGTCGGCAGACTACACTCCAGGGTGCTTCAAGTGAGTGACATACCTAAACTATCCTTCCCTACTACACCCATGCACGTCATTTTTCCTACTTTTCAGTCAGAGGAGGCTTTGAAGAAGATTGAGTCGAAGACTGAGAAGTATTCATCTCGTGAGGCCAACTTTGCGGCCGAGCTCACCAAACTCTTCTCTTTGGAGCAGGAGGTTAAAACCAGGTGAATTGCGTCGCCCACCCTTATTGCGTGTATGCGATCATCGTGACTGTACTGAAATAAGTATCATTATTGTGAATAGTCTAAAGTACAGAGCTCGCAGAGTCAACGGCCCCCACACGTTTTTTCGTTATGACGTTATTGTGCGCACCCGTGCAGCAATAGCCTTCCTCAGGTCTGGCGTCCTCGGTAAATGGATGGCAGATGAGAAAGTTGTCAGGGACCAGTTATCGAAAGTGTAATGTAATTTTGTGGCGCGCGGTAGTGTAGGCCAGTGCCTGCAGATACCGCGATCTCGATACGAAGTCTCTAATGCAGTCAGATAAGCTGCTGAGCATGAGTAGCATACTTCGTGCTGCTTTAAGTAAGATGCAGGCTATACACGATCATGTCAGCCAAGTTATTACCTCGGGTAAAACGTTGCTTCCCGGATCCCTGTACTGACCTTTTCAGTTGGGGAGGCTGAGTCCAGTATGTACCAGTGGGCGTACAATGTGACCAGCAAGGTTAACTATCACACAACACAAATAGTCACAGTAGGGAAGAAAACTGTCTTGTACGTGTGTTTTGAAGGGCTCCCTCAGTTGGCTCAGAATTTGGAGTTCCGGATAACACAATCGAAGGGTATGGAAACAGAAGCTCGAAGGTTGATGACGCTGTATCGGAAACGTAATCGTTCAGCGGCATTGTTCTGTTCACCGTGGTCTCGGGTTCGATTCCGACATCGTGCATTTTCGTCTCTTATTTTGCAGTTGCGGATAAGTACGGCGCGCAGAACGACCTCTCAGTTGTTGCGCGATCGATTCTCAAGGTGGACGGCAATAAACTACAAAGTAACACCTTTGTAATATCTCTCGAATTGGACTGTTCGAAGGTACCACCGTATCTGAGGCGGTCCATGAGCTGCAGTCATTGACCAGCGCGTCTGCTGCTAGCAGCATCACTGTGTAGCTACATGAGGGTGATGTCATCGCTGCGGTCGTCATTGTCTTGCGTTAGAGTCTTTTTTGGAGAGCAAAGTTCCATCTTATATATAACTCCAAAATTTGACGCCGTCAAATTGACCGCAACTTTTAACCAGCATCCCCGTACAATGGTTGCACGGAGAAGCTGAATCAGCCTGACAACTTAACCGATGGGCTTGCTACGGGTTTCTACAGTGTGAGGCGAACCGCGATGCAAAGCGATGTATTCACTATATAATTTCCGAGAGTACAACTGTAGGTTATCAGACACTCGTGAAACGTTGGTATTCGCCCACATCGTTATCATGTGTATATCACCCAAAGTTGACTCTGGAACTCTGGAAACTATGGAGTCACCGCAGGAGCATTAGTACAGTGTATTAATCTCCGTGGGTTGACATAATAGATTGGAACTTGGACTCCCATGACTTGGGTGAAGATCTTACTCAGTGGTTCACGGACTGCCAGACACTCCGTCTTGATTTGGCCGCGCTGTACATACGTATCTTGTCTTATATTCGATCACGGCTGCTGAATCGCGAGTTATGGCATATCGGCCCCAGGATGAAATCGAAAGTGGGATGGCATAACTGCCCCAGACTGAAGGAATTGATCCTCCTATGACGTGTGGGTGTTAAATCGATTATACCAAGGCATATCTTGGGGTGGCATAGCTGCCCCAGCCCGGAGGAATTGATCCTCCTATGCCGTGTGGGTGTTAAATCGACTATACCAAGGCATATCTTGGGGTGGCATAGCTGCCCCAGCCTGGAGGAAATGATCCTCCTATGCCGTGTGGGTGTGAAATCGATTATACCAAGGCATATCTTGGGGTGGCATAGCTGCCCCAGCCCGGGTGAGGGGTATCTCTGAATAAGGTGATCATGTTATTATTCCCTCACACATGATAGTATGGACAGGCATAATAATCTCATGGCAGTTTGGGGACGTCATTTAATGGCGGCCACACAACCCCGTCACAAATTATGTCCCGTCGCGATGACGAGGAAATCTCTTTAGCTTTAGATATCCCCCCTCAGCCCAATGGAGTACTTGTTGGTCTGTTATCATTTCGTTCAAGCCGTTGATGGAATGAGTTTATCCTCTATTGAAGACTATATGCCTTCCAGCTTTGCTAACTTCCTAAATTTATTCCCATAATGTCCACCCTTTACGAAAAGATCGGAGGCGAAGATGCTGTTAACGCCGCGGTTGAGTTGTAAGGTCTCTTTCTCGTCCTCTTCACTCCTACTTTCACGTTCGCAGGTTCTATAAGAAGAATCTCTCGGACGATCGTATTAAGGAGGTCTGGGCCAAGACCGATATGAACAAACTGAAAGACCATCAGAGAAGTTTCCTAACATACGTCTTCGGTGGTTCTAACAACTACACTGGCCGCAGGTAAGCCGTCGTCTTCGTTGTTATTTATCTTTACGTGTTGCCTTCTGTAGTATGAGGGCCGCTCATGCAGGCTACAATATCACTGATGCCCAGTTTGACGCTGTCGTCGAGAATCTCACTAATACCATGAAGGAGCTTGGTATGTCAGACTCCACTCGCCGCCTTTTCACACATCTCTTGGCCAGGTATTCCACAGGAATATGTCGATCAAGTCAATGCCATCGCAAAGAGCGAGCATGACGATGTCGTCGGGCATTAGAGCCCATCAAGAGGCATACTATCGTCTCTTTTGACATTCCTATTCAGCGTTTTCGTGAAGTCAAGACTGTCGCGTTAGTTTGGTGACTTATTGCCAGTATGGGTGAATGGTGATCGAATGTGTTGCTGCTGTTGATCGATGACAAAGTTTTGTGTCAGCAGGTCGCTCTCGCCCGATAGATTCTTAATTCACCTCAGCTAGTTTTAGTGGATCGTGCAACTTCACAGTGAACTCTCAAGGTGGAAATGACTAGCCAACTTGAAAGGATTTGGCTCCGATTCGCGAATCTCAGTGAGAACCAGCCTGTCTGTGACACGAGTTTCCTACTACTAGATAACCGTGAGGTATCTTCTGTACGTGACAAGTCTGGCTTTGATTTTACTATACTTTTCTGAGTCCACCCTAATCACACCCCGAATAACCACTTTGGTTTCGCGATTCTCTTGCCTCCATAACCGTGAGAACTATTCACTCTGCTGGCTCATTGAAAGCTTTGAGATCTCTCGTATGAGTTTCGCTTTTATTCGAGTCTTTCAATCAACGCATCTCAGCGGATAATACAGAGTGAAGCCACCAACGGATTGCAAACTCATCGAGTACCATCATCCTCCACTTTTCTGTTCATAACATCTCGAACTCAAGAGCGACAGAGAAGAATAGAAAGATTTTATTACTATTAAGGAACTATGGGACATTAAGTGATAATAACGACGATTGCTATAATGGTGATTCACACCAAAGGCATCGAACAGTATTAATATTATCAATACCAACCATCCTAACTCGTAATCACAATTTTGGACGCGGCCTCCAAATTATGAGATGGTTAATGACAGAGAGGGATGGTTCGTCTCGGACGTTGTTGTGGTTGTTGTCATCATCAAACTCATGCAGTCCAAAAAGGGACTTCAAGGATGATGTATAATCATAAGAAGTACAGAAAATTGGGAATGGACACTTCGGACTCAACAGAAGCATCATAATCGACTCTAGATCTACAGAGACGTCCGAGATGATAACAGCACCAGCTAAGGGGAACAGCAGGCGAATGAACGTGTACACATAGTAATGGTTCAAGACAGAAGGAGAATGCCTATGATGATATTAATCATCGACTTTAATGCACATCACCATCGCCACTACGGTTCTGACTGCGAACCAGATTTTGGAGTTCAGCGAAAAGGACATCGGAGGTCTTGTGATCCTCATCATGACCTGAAAGGCAACTGTTTATTATGGGCCTTTCACCGATCAGACACCTTACCATGCATCGCAGGATCCGAACCAGCTCTCGGACGTGGGGACTCTCCCACAGACGCCAGCAAACTTGGGAAACAACTGAGGTAAAACTATACATAAAATTGGGTACACCGTCGACTTACTTGAAGCTAGCGCTTTGAGCGAGGCCTCCCATGTTGTGATGCATAGACACAGTATGGTAGTTCGGGGAGGCAACCTGGACTGACGGATCTTGACTGTACAGCTCTGACAGAGCGCCAAATTCAGCCAACTCTGCCTCTTCCTCGGCACTTAAAGGCTCAGCCTGGTTTGATAAACCTAAGACACAAAGCTCATCATCTCACTACACAGGTGAGATAGAGATGATACTACCAAGGAGAGAGCCAACAGTGCATAGAGCAGGACTAGAGGCAAACGCCTTCATAAGGTTGCTAGTGCTGGTCATAGCATCGCCATCATCACCATCAAGATGCGACTGCTGGGGTATACTCATACTGGCAACATGCTGAAGACCTGAGCCGCTCAGTATGGCAGCAGAGGATTTGATGTTCGGCAGGGGAGCGGCGACGTCACCAAACTCGGTAGCGCTGGCTTCGGTCGCGGTCGCCGAGGCCATGTCCGAGAGATTGCTAGAGGAGGGGTAGTCCCTCATTGTATTGTCTCCGATCTCAGGCGTTATCACCCTAAAGGATAAAGAGACGTGCTATCACTCTAACGACCCCGGTTCAAATCCCATCAACAACATTCTTTGTACTTACGGAACTCGCAGGTTAAGTTGCTGATCAGATGCCGTCCGAAGCATCGCTGGGCTTCCGTCACCCACGGCGGCCTGAATCCCATAATAAGTGGACATGGAAGCCCCACTAGAGAATACTACCTCCGACTTGTGCTGCATGCCAGGTGCACTTGCCGACGTATGGAGGCTCGTTTGCTGCTGCTCTTGTTGCTGCTCCTGCTCCTGTTGGTGCTCCTCATCTCCTCGCTGTTGTTGCTGCTGCTGCTGCTGTTGATACTGGTCATAGCGTTGCTGTTCCTGAACACATGCATGGACGCAGGTTCAATCCCCACACCCTACCTGAGGAGATACATTCCCCTGTTGTTGCTGCACAGCCATCTGCTGCTGCTGCTGCTGTTGACGTTGCCATTGCTGTGCAGCTAATGCCGCAGCTGCCTGCTGTTGGACCATCATAGCCTGCTGTTGTTGCGTCGAGTACGATATGTACCTAATTAAACACTCCCCTCCATCAGAGACTTCACTACTACATCTGTTGCATCGCCGCCTGTTGGTGTAGCGACCGAGCGGCTATCAAACTCAGGTTCTGCAGCTGGGCCTATAATAGCAAACACATCCAAACTACATTACTCATCAAGCCAATACCGGTGTTGGCTCAAATCCTCCAGCAATAGAAGCAACCGCAGCAGTAGCAGCAGTAGCCGCAGCCGCCGCAATAGCCCATTGTTGTTGTTGCTGTGCAGCGTAAGCCTGAGACCAATCCTCCCATCATAAGCCGACTAAGCTGCCTCATCTCCACCTACCGTAGGGTCCTGTGTAGGCCTCTGCTGCATTGCAGCTGCTTGGGCTGCTGCTGCCAACGAACCGGACAGGACTGACGCGAACTGATTCTGCTGATACTTCAACACCTCGGCCGGACTAACGGCGATTTCCGGAGGCGGAGCGAAGCTGAGACTAAACATTTTCCAGTTAGGGACAATACCATTCATCGTACACATTAGGAACAGCTGGTCTCATGTCAGATACGCCCCATTAGGCATACCACTTTGCTGCTGCTGTGCTGTTGAGGACTTGGTCGCTGCTGCATCTGGGGTGGTGT